TCCCCTGTCACGGCAGAGAGCCGTGACAGGATCGAGAGGTGAGCGAAGGCCGGTATGTGTTCGCTCACCTCCCGATCTACTGAGCCGACCTGTGACAGTCTCATTGTCACAGGTCGGCTAGAACTATGAGGTGAGTGAAAAGCCCCTCCCCTCATAGTTCTCCTTTAACAGGTTCTCAAATATGACGGAACACCGGCTCCCATGGAGGGACGGAACAGCAGGATGGTAGGGGAGAGGTAGGTTGGGGGGTGTTTTGGTTTTTCAGAAGACTCACTTTTCCCCAAATCAGCGAGGACATTGATCTTACCGATAGTTGGACTTCTTCAAGGCAGTTGGAAGAAATAACATGGAGGTGTGCAGCAGTGAACGTGAGATTTAGACTTTGTTTCAGTCTCCCCATCAAGGCAACATTGTTGCATCGCTCAACGTTCCTCCCGCTTCTCCTCATCTTCCTCATGGACTCTGCTCTGCAAGGCTGTAGCACTGGAGGTGGAAGTGGGAGCAGAAGCAGGCTGGATCCCTATGCAGCAGCCGCTCTCTGTACAACTTAGAAAGGAGCGGAGGTCCACGTGAAGATTAAAGGAGAACTATGGGGTCATGGCTTTTCCTTAGGGGGGAATCCAGCCCCTCCCCTGTCACGTCAGAGAGCCATGACAGGATCGAGAGGTAAGCGAATGCCGGTATGTGTTCGCTCACCTCCCGTTCTACTGAGCCGACCTGTGACAGTCTCATTGTCACAGGTCGGCTAGAACTATGAGGATGAGTGAAAAGCACCCCCCTCATAGTTCTCCTTTAATGAAAAAGAAATGTACCAGAAGCTGGATTAGGATGGGGTGTATATCAGAGGTCTATGACCACCTGCCTAATATTGAGTAGGTCCCCCTTCTCCTGACCCGTCCAGGCATGGACCCCACTAGACCTCTGGAGGTGTGATGTGGTATCTGGCACCAAGCCGTCAGTAGCAGATTTTTTTTATTTTTAAGTCCTGTAAGCAGTGAGTTGATCGGCCTCCATGGATCAGACTTGTTTTTCCAGAACCTCCCACAGATGATGGATTGGATTGAGATCTGGAGAATTTGGAGGCCGAGTCATCACCTCAAACTCATTGTTGTTCCTCAAACCATTCTTCAACCATTTTTGCAGTGTGGCCGGGCGCATTATCCTGCTGAAAGAGGCCACTGCCATCGTGTCCATGAAGGGGAGGACTTGGTCAGTAACAATGTTTAGGTCGGTGGTACGTGTCAGAGTGACATCCACATGAATGGCAGGACCACTCTCAATACAAATGAGTAAACTAAACATGAGATTGTAGTCCATCACAGGAGTGAGCTTAGAGCGGTGACTACTTTACAACACACACGGGGATCATGGGGAACACAAGTAGTCACCCTCCAGAAGGAAGGACAGTGTCAGCACCAATTCAGAGATGATTGGAGGATCTACAGCCGAGTGATACACAAATAAGATACATTGTTGTTCAGAGTTCAGGGACTTGAATGTATTTTTAAGTAGGGATGCACCGATGCCAAATATTTGGGCGAGTACTCGTACTTGTCCAAATGCTCACGACACCGGCACTTCCGGTATCAGGAAGCCGAGCAGCGAGTCATTACACGGCGCCCAGCTTCCTGATTGGCCAGGAAGCCCACTCCATGCTACCTCATCACCAGGGAGCACGGAGCTACCTTCCCAGCCAATCAGGAAGCCGGGCGCCGTGTAATGACTCGCACCCCTGGCTTCCTGATGGGACAAGAAGCCGGCTGCATGCCCCCTGGTGACGAAATAAAATGGAGCCAACTTCCCGGCCAATCAGGAAGCTGGGCGCCGTGTATGGACTCGCTGCCCAATCGGGAAGACCGGCGGCAAGTCATTTCTGATGGGCCAGAAAGACAGTTCCATGCTTCCTCGTCACCTGGTGACAAGGTAGCATGGAGTTGGCTTCCCGGGCTTCGAGTCATTACACAGCACCCCGGCTTCCTGATTGGTCGGGAAGCTGGCCAATCAGGAAGCCAGGCGGCGAGCCAGAAAGCTTGCTCCGCGGCTAATTAGGAAGCCGGGCTGCAAGTCATTAAAAGAGAACTATGAGGCGAGTGAAAATCACTGATCCTCATTAGTTCTAGCCGACATGTGACAATGAGACTGTCACAGGTCGGCTCAGTAGATCGGGAGGTGAGCGAACACATACCGGCGCTTACTCACTTCTCGATGTATCCCTGCAGAGAGCCGTGACTGTCACTCACGGCTCCCCCCAGGGATCCTCTCTCTCCGATCCTCCAGGGCTGACTGGCGGAACGGACGGGGGAGGGGGCGGGCACAGCTGGTTCTGTCTCTAGATAGGCAGAGCCAGCTGTCACTCACACAGCTGGGTGGATCTCG